GCGTTATTATTACTATTTTTTTTTCCTCGGTAAGTGAGAGAATCAGTCTATTTCAGCACAGAACTCTGTCGCCTTCAATTTTAAATTCTTAAATTTTATTCTAAACTGCCTAGCTACTGAGCAACTGAATTGACATTTCCTTACAAATCAATTTACGCGATATTGAAAAAAACGAGCGCAGCTCAGAAATTCTCAGACACCTACGAATCATACGTATTATCTCCTGTTCTTATAAGATCCTATTTGATTTTTATTTTGATCTTAAATATAAGATCCTAATCCATTTTATTTCTCATATTTATATTTTTTTTCTAAAATAGTCCTTCTAACAATGATAGTTCTAGTCAATACACTTGATTAATAAGGATATTTTAGGAAAGACAACATCTATTTAGGACAAATAACTAACTCAATTTACTTTCTTAATCTCTTTAAATTAGTTAAATGACTCTTATAATTAGAACCAGACTTATAATTAGGACCAGAGAGGTAGTACTTCATAACAAATACCGTTACCTACTCTATTTGACTCTTCTCCGATTTGTACTACCAATTATGCGAGCATTTTTTTTCAATGATTCATGGAGTTGAATTTAATGTTTTTCCTTCTTAATTATTGAACAAAAAAAATATATTGTTTTGAGTTTTTTTTTTGGTGAACAGAGTCCATCATATGCATGCTTTAATAAGTTTGTTTTATTGAATTATGTGTGATTTATAAATAAATGTTTTATTTATCTGTGAACTCGTGTCTTTTTTTAACTCAAATGTCGCGTTCTCTTCATAATTATATATGAATATTTTTATAATTTTAATTGAATTATATTTTTTAAATCATGTTCAGTCTGATACCGGGTTAAACCTGATTTGAACAAGTGGCCTTATGAACCATTGCTTTTACCGACTCAAAAACGCGTTTCATTTTCAGGACTTTGGCTCTGTTTGGGTGTTCCAAAACCATGGTTTCAGAAGCACTTTTCCGCAAAACGAGGTAACCTCCTCCACATATTTACTTCGTAATCCGTAAAAGCACTTCTGAAACCATGGTTTGGTTTTTATCCAAACACTCCCTTTGTCATACTATGGCGTAAAAAGCCTAACCCCTCACTTGGCCAAGGACATAAAACCTGCTTTTTGGATAAGAGTTGGTGAGTTTCATCTGGTTTGTTGTCTCAATTTTTAATTTTAGCTTACTTTATAAATTATACTACATCAAGTCTTTAATATAAAAATTGGTTCGATTTTTAATTTAGTTTTAAATATAAGACCCAATCTATTTTATTTTTTATATTTATTTATTTTTTTAATATAATTCTTATAGTAGTTGCACATATTAAATGTTTCATCAAATAATATTTGATTAGCAAGAGTATTTTACAAAATATAATACATATTTATTACAAATAACTAATTTAACTAATTTTTTAAATCCATTTAAATGATAAACTAGTTTTTATATTAAAGACCGGAGATTGCAATTTAAAAAAAGTTTCACATATACATATAGTATTTTGAGAGCTGCATTTATTGGAGGTCAACAATGGTTGAATGTTGAATTAATTGGTAATATCGGGAAACATATGAGTAATTACAAGAAAAAGACGTATAATTATTTGATTGTCAAAGTCCATTTTGTATTGCAACGAAGGAGCTGCTAATAAAAAAATATCGTCTCGGGGAAGCATCGCTGAACTTCAGGTTGGATATAATAATACTGCCAATATTGTTTGTACAACTTAAGAACGTTCGAGGAGCTCACCCAATGGAATTATAAATAATAAATAATTATTAAAGTTAAAGGACAAGAAACAAACCCCCCCCTTTTTTTTTACCAGGGCCCCCCTTTTTTTTAAAACTATAGTTAACCTCACTTGCGTGGATACTGAGGGAACATTTTTTTTAAATAAATAAATAAATAAAAACACTACGCGTTAATTAGTGAAGAGAGTGAGTTCGGGCAAAGGCGGCGAGTTAGTTATTAATTGATAACAAATAAGATCTTATAATTAGTATATGGGATAGTAATACTAATTCTAATATTTAATATAAGATATAATTAATTAATTTATAAAAATTAAGAAAACTAAATAAATTATTTAATTATAACATTATCTTTGATCTCTTTGAAACTGAGCTTATGTAGGTCTTAAGATATTGAGTTGGGCTCAGAACTCATAGGCAGTCTAACAATATAATGCATTCTAAAATAAATAAACTGCTAAATAATAACCACACATGATAATGATTATCTGGATTTTGTCTATATATATGTGTGTGAAATCCTAGTATATTTTATTTTTCATATTTATTTATTTTTTAAAGCAACCCATATGGTGATTGTACATTAAAGAGTTATATTCTATTACAAATAACTAATTTAATTAATTCTTTTAATATTTACAAATTAATTATCTAATTTTTTTTTATTAAGGACATGAGGGACTATTGATTATTTTATCTTATTTTTTTGAATGTCTTTTTGTCTTTTGTTTTTGCCACGTGGGTGGAATTTTGAAAGGAAGTAGTAATTACTTGGAACATCTCCTTTGAATATTCAATATATTTTAAAATAAGGACCAATATAAAAATTTGTGTATATCTTAAAAATCAGCAAGTCAATAAAAGAATAGTTCAAATATGGCTTATAACCTCGAAATTTCGACAGGATTACAATACAAGTGTAGTATATAATGTTTTTTTGTTTGAAAAAATGCAGTGATCATGTCCTTCTTTCATTATATTTTCGTTCCTTTGCCAAAAAGTGAAAATACTCCATTTAAACTATCATCACAATAAAAGGCTTCAAGAAGGACACAACTTGTGCTAATGTGAACAACCTTTATTGATTCGTTTGAAAAACTTCGTGCTTTTCAGATTGGAGCTAAGATTAAGACCAAGGAACGACAAACCAGACCGGACATTAAACCGATTAAGATAGTAGTTCAAAAGTCAGTGGGTCAAACGGAGGTCCAACTGGAAGCAAACCGGTCATATTAAAATAATATAATTTAATTAAAAATAATAAAATACAATAACAATAATAATTACTAATAACAAAATGTAAGAAAATACAACAATAGTTTGATTGAAACAATAACAAAATATAACAATATTAAGAATTTCGATTTTTATAATTCCTTAACAACTAAAATTAATAATTATTGATACTAAAATTATTATTAAAATTCATTCAAATCTATAATGACTGAAATATTAAGCGCTGAATGAGAAAAAATAAGAACAATAGCAATATAATTATCCAAATCGATTCATTACCGGTTCACACCAATTTTTTCCGATTTCACCGGTTTACCACCAGTTCGATTTATAACTAGTTCAATACTTAAACCAAACCAGACCACTAGCTGTTTCACCAGTTTTCCGATTGAACCGGTTGGTTTGATCTAATTTTTTGTTCAACCTAAGCCCAAAACGTGTGGTTTATAGTCCCATGCACACAAACACATCGTCTAAAGTGGTCAAAAAAGGCATGCCATTATTGTTTTAACCAAAAAGTCTCTGCCAACTGCAGCAAATTGATTCTATATTTTGCTCACCATTCGGCTTTTTGAAGCTTTAACAACTCATAACCAAGAACGCGTTTTCAAAGCTTCTTTTTCAAACTTCATTTTTAGTATTTCACGGGTTGCCCCATTTGATCATCAAGCATATAGCAACGTCTCTTGCTGATTTTTTAGCCAAGTCACACGTGAGAAGATACTGTTAATATCTTTGATCAAGTCCTGCCTTCCTTTTTTTCAAAAGAGGGAGATCGATGAGGGATTTTAAGTTTTTAACTGCTATATGGTTATGTTTTTGCTTCTTTTAAATTTATGAAAATTAGTTTCTACTAAAAAAATCTTATCTATAAATTTATATGCAACGTGAAATTCATAACATGTCATGTTATTTATAGTTATAAATAGTGCAATTATAATTCAACTATGAATAACGGGTTTAAACTCATGATCTCGTAACTTATGAATCAACTATTTACTAATTAGATAAACCTAAACTTTTATTTGTTATATTTTTATTTTCTTTTTTTTCCCTCTCGTATCCTAACCCTCTTTCTTAGTAAAGGAGATCCCCGTAGATTACATGGAGAATTTAATCTCACAAGCCACAACCTCCTCCATTAGAAAAATTGCCATATGAGCCATAAGGCTCTGCCTATTATTTTCCTAATTGAAAAAAAATTGTTGAAATGAACATTATTTGAATTCAAATTAGTAAAAGTAAAAAAAAAAGATTAAATGCAAGTAAACATATAAAAAAGATTGAGAAGGCTTCTCGGATTATGGCTTCATCACCTTTAAATTTTTCTATATATATAAAGAGCAAGTTGAAAACTAATGATTGGTTAAAAAGCATAGAGCCAGTCATCGTTGCATTTCAGTAGTTATCTCCTAAATCAGACGTCTCGCCTCTGCTCTTCTCTCCTATTTGAATAATTTGGATAGCTTAAAATAAAAGTAAAAATCAATCATTAGAATCTATTATAAACTGTTGAGAGAAACCCAATTGAGATCATCTTAAAAATCAAGTTACATCACATTTCTATGAAAAAATTGCAGGCAAGAATTTCCCAGACAGTATACCAGAAAGTTTAGTCAATTCAACACGACGTGAATAATGGGAGATAAAAAAATAAAAAAAATTCTATATGCGAAATACTCCTCTTGGTGTTAACACAGGACTTAATTAACTAATTTGAGTAAATTAAGAATTTTAATTAACTTAGTTAATAAAATATATTATTTCTAAAAACACTCTAAATATCTTTTTTAATTCCGTTCTTTCTCTCTTACTTGATAATTATTAGAAAAATATCGGTAAGATTATTCTGAAAAAAATTGATAAATCAAAAAAAATTGTTCCTCAACCCAAAAAAGGGAGACTTCGTCGTAAGCAACCGGCACCTACTTTCTTTGACTGTTCCCCCACGTTGCATTATATAAGTGATATAACATGCAGTACAGCTCAAGCAACACAGGCAATCAACTCTGTAAAGCCATATATAGATATCACCGTTCTCCATTGCCAGAGAGAATCGCAAAACTGCCAATTAGCTTACTGATATTTATATATTAATTTGCTTGGTGCAGCGCTAGAAATTAACATAGCCATGGTTGAGCTTACCTTAAGCTTAAGAATGGTGCCAACACTTTTGGTTCTGTATTTTTTGCTCTGTTTGGCTTACTTAAGCAGTTGTGAGGCCAGAATCAGACACTACAAATGGGAGGTGAAGTATGAGTACAGGTCCCCAGATTGCTTTAAGAAGCTGGTTATCACCATTAATGGCAGATCTCCTGGACCCACCATCCAGGCTGAGGAAGGTGATACCATCGTTGTTGAACTCAAGAACAGTTTCCTGACTGAGAACCTTGCCATCCACTGGCATGGAATTCGTCAGGTAAGCCTTTGATTTCTCTGCATAACTCTTTTCACCATGCTCAGACAAAACGAAAATGTTTCATTTGAATCATTCTTTTTTTTTTTTGGCAGATTGGGACTCCTTGGTTCGATGGTACAGAAGGGGTCACTCAGTGTCCTATACTGCCTGGGGACACATTCAAATACCAGTTTGTAGTTGATAGGGTAAGTTGTAATCCTCTGAGCCATCGTGTTGACTTTCCTTCAATGAAAGAAACGGCTCTAAGTATTGATTTTATCAAAATATCTAACAAGCTTGTTTAATTTGTAGCCTGGAACGTATCTGTACCACGCTCACTATGGGATGCAAAGAGAAGCTGGATTGTATGGAATGATCAAAGTATCACCTCGTAATCCTGAACCCTTTACTTATGACTACGAACGAAGCATTATTCTTAATGATTGGTTCCACAAAAGCACCCACGAACAAGCCACAGGGTTGTCGTCAAAAGATCCTTTTGTCTGGGTTGGAGAGCCTCAGGTAAACCACTTTGCTTTTCACTGCTCCAAACTGCTTCAACCCAAAATTCACCATTTTGTGCAAATATCGACAGTTGATTTATCGTTTCGATTGTTTTCTGCAGTCACTTCTGATTCAAGGAAGAGGAAGATTCAATTGCTCTAAACTCGCAACTCCAAGCCTAGACGCTGGAGTTTGTAACACATCAAACCCTGATTGTTCTCCTTATACACAGACAGTGGTCCCTGGAAAAACGTATCGACTCAGAGTTGCTAGTTTGACTGCCTTATCAGCACTCAGTTTTCAGATTGAGGTAAATCCTTCTGAGCATCTTTTGATTTCCTAACTCTGCCCCTGAAAATCGGCCTTTTGAATGGTTTCTGACGGAATATCATAACACGCAGGGCCACGACATGACGGTGGTTGAAGCAGATGGCCACTATGTAGAGCCTTTCCAGGTTCAAAACCTGTTCTTATACTCTGGAGAGACATACTCTGTTCTTGTGAAAGCTGACAGAGACCCATCGAGGAATTACTGGATCACTTCCAATGTTGTTGGCAGAAACAGAACCACCCCACCTGGTCTAGGAGTTTTCAATTACTATCCCAACCATCCACGGCGGCCACCTCCATCAACTCCGCCGTCTCCCCCTGCTTGGGATGACGGTGAACTCCGATTGGCTCAAAGCCTTGCCATTAAAGCTCACTCAGGCCATATAATCAAACCGCCATCATCCTCAGATAGAGTCATAGTATTGCTCAACACGCAGAACAAAATAGATGGTTATGTGCGTTGGTCAGTGAACAATGTCTCTTTCACTCTTCCTCACACCCCTTACCTGGTTGCCCTCAAACAGAACATGACCGATGCATTTGATCAGACCCCACCACCAGATAGCTACGATTTTCTTGGCTACGACATTTTCAATGTGGCAAACAACACAAATGCCACTACTAGCAATGGCGTTTACAGGCTCAAGTTCAATACGACGGTTGATATCATACTTCAGAATGCCAACACCATGAACAAAAATAACAGCGAGACACATCCATGGCATCTCCATGGGCACGATTTCTGGGTTCTGGGATACGGTAAGGGTAAGTTTGATATCAATAATGACCCAAAGAAATACAATTTGGTGAATCCTATAATGAAGAACACTGTGCCGGTGCATTCATATGGTTGGACAGCTTTGAGGTTTAGGACAGACAACCCAGGAGCGTGGGCTTTTCATTGCCATATAGAGGCACATTTCTCTATGGGGATGGGTGTGGTTTTTGAAGAAGGAATTGAGAGGCTGGGTAAGCTGCCTTCATCCATCATGGGTTGTGGTAAGACTAAAGGATTTCACCAGCCTTGATTCAACTCGTGCCGTTTCAGTTTTGTCTCACAACACTCCTTCTATGTAGCAATTAGATTTATTCATTCTTTATTACAATTGTCTGGCAATTGGGATTGACAGTATTTACTAAGTCAAACAAAGAAAAGATATTAGCATTTACATTTTACAACTTTTTCTGTTCAAAAAACAGAGGTCCATATATGCCACAACTTTACACTTCGATCATAAAATTCAATTCGCGAGGCTTTGGAGAAACGGATTTTATCGAAGCGATTCGAATCCAAACTAAACAATCTAAACTCACATGAACTCAGTTCTGCAACTTCTTAACCAAAGGGATAAAAATGCAGCAAGAGCATAAAGAAACCGATCTTTTAACGAGCACCTAAAGTATCTTCTGAAAGTAGGTGCACGAGATATATATATATATATATATATTATAAATTATATATTTATGCTTTCCGTTAGTCAATATGATCATCAGCACAGAGGAACAAATGAAGGAATTCAGTTTTTTTTTTTTTGTAAAAAAAAAAAAAAAACTAGAACAAGAAACATTTCAAGAAAGCTCTGAATCAGCAGCCTTTTATCAATGGATAACAGAGTGCGCCGCATACGCCACGTTTGAAACTAACGAAACTGATGAAGAGAAACATCTGGTATTGACTCAATTTATGACTCGACTCAAGCTGCAAAGAGCTAACAGGGAACTATAGAAACAGTTTAGTGACCATGAAAAAAAAAAAAAAAACTAAATGCGTGTCAGAAGAGACACAAACTTTGGAATCACAGGCCATGGTGATCTTCAATCTCCACCATCGGCTTGGCCTGAGGTATTGGCGGCTCGCTGCAATTTCCATTCCCATTTATAGCAGCACAGGTTCCTTCCATCATCTGATCTGCCGACGCATGAGCCGCTCCTTCACCTCCAAGTATACTGTCGTAAGCCGCAGCCACAGGACTGATATGTGGAAATGGCAAGTAAATACTATGCACCACCATCTTGATGTTGTGGATAACGTCCGGCACCTTAACCCTAACATAGTTAATCCTCATCGGCGCTGAGGTTAAGCCTCCACTGGAGGTAGTGATGAGCAGCGTTTGGCCTCGTTCCAATGTCGGCAGAGGCGTTCCTACCGGTAGCTTTTCCAGGTCCGTAAATGTCAAGTAATGATTCGGCACGATGTGGAATCTCACATTGCTGATATAAGAATGCGAACCGGAGAAGATGGATAGATCGTCAACGGCGAATATCGTCATGTTATTGAGGGTGACCAGCTCGGAGTACTTCACCTTCATCGCGAGGGCTAGGATGCTGAAGCCATTATTACGGAGCCGGAGAATCGCGTCTCTGATCATTAAGCGCATGATAGCTGTCTGCATTGAGCCGGACGGGATGTGGTGACCGGAACGATGATCTAGATGGTACGGGTACGAGTGTGAAGACATCCTCTCTACATCGCAAGAAAACGGAGACAGTGGTGCGACAAAGCCTTGAATGCCATGAATAACCACCATACCGTTGTTGAATAGTTCGGGCTGCGTGACCTCCACTCCTCCGATGAAAACCTTCACGTCAGCAGCATTGCTGGAGTTTCCGTTGATCGAATCAGAAGTGACAGTAATGCAGCGGCCTGGACTCAAGGTTTCGATCTTGGTTCCAAAGGCAAGTTTCCGCAGATAATCCATGGTAAAGTATCCTGGAACGATATGCTCACGAAGAAGATTAGGAACAGAGCAGGAGTAACAGGTGCGAATGGACGCATCTGACGCAGCAAAGATCGTAGAAGGACCGGTCCAGGAGGTGGCAGCGGGGGAAGTTGAGTCAGAGAGTGAAGGAGCCGCCGTGGCAAGCTCTTGAAAACCGAGATGAGACAAGATCGGAGGGAGGAGTGCCGTTTGAGAGAAGAACGAGTGTTCTTGGAGTTCTTGTGGAGTCGGCGGTGGCGTTAGCGGTACGGTTGGAGGCGTGAAGCTTCCTCGCAGCCCATCAATGGCGGTCACCGTGGGTGAGCAGAGCATCGCAACGATCGAAACAGCACAGAGCAATGAGAATCGCAGTGAAGTATCCATTGGCGGAGAGGGAAAAGAAATCAGAGAAGTGTTTGGGAATTTCAGAGAGAATGCGAAAGAGAATGAAAGCAGCGAGTGAGCCAGAAAGAATTTATGGGGGCAAGGGAGTGAGGAAGCGGTTATGAAATCGTTAGAGAACGCTGACGCGCGCGTGGAAGAAGCACGAGGATTGAGTGGTTGTGAGATTTTAGTTACATTTGGCGGGGAACGTGAAAACCGAAGGAAGATGAAAAATGTTCATTTAAAAAAAAAAAAAAAAGGAATACAAATTGAAGAAAGACACAATTCTGTAATTTCAGTAACTTGATCGGGCAATTCTTAAAGGGCCTTCATTCACAAATTTCGTTTCGAACCCAAAAGCCCAAGCCCACTCCCAAAACTTTTGCTGGGGAAAATTTGGTCTACCAAGGAAACCTGAAAAGAGGGCCAAGTCTGAAATTTCAATGAGGCCCAAAAAGAGAGGCTAATCATTAGAGGGCCTAAATCCATGAATCAACCCCAGCAGGCCCAGGCCCACTTACAGCTGTCTGGAGGGTGATATAAATGATTTAGAGTCCGTTTGGTACGAGGGAAAATGAGATGAGGGAAATAGAAGAAAAATTTTAATAAACTCGATTTAAAAAATTTAAAAAATGGGTTTAAAAGCTTTTAATTAATTTTCATTACTCTTTTATATTATTTCTTTTTTTTATTAAAATTTTAAAACCCCACTTCTCTAACTTTTTAAATAGAGCTCATTAAAATTTTTTTTCCCGTCCCCTCTCCTTCATTTTTCTTGTACCAAACAGTACCTAAGAAACACGAGGAAGAAACCGGTCAACTGGGATCAATATATCAATATCTATATATATATATATATATATTTATGACATTTTTTGCCAACGATATATACATGTGTGTGTGATATAAAAATTATAGAGATATGTATATTTATAAATCATAAGCAGTTGAGTCGTCTTGTAAATTTTACATAATGCTAAAGAAAAAAAGTGATCTGATTGATATGGGCAGTCAAAAGAAACAAGTGAATCTTATTAATTAATTAATGAGTGATAATATATTAACGTGATTAACTGTGTGGAACCCTGCATGTTGTCGGAGGCTAACACATATAGAATAGGCCTTTACACTTTCTTCGGATGTGGTACCAAAAAAGGCAACAGCAAAACAAAAATAAATAAATGAATAAAGGAATTCCAGCTGGTTCACGTTCTCTTTGAGAAAAGGATATGCTTCCCTTCTATATCACTCGTGATCCTTCATACTTCCTCTCCCTCGTTTCTTAACTTTGGCAAGCCAATCTCAATAATTTTAACCGCTACCCCTGGCAAGCAAGTTGTGAACCCTAATACTCCCTCTAGTACTGTAGTCCGATAATTAATTTTTAAATATTAAAAAAATCATTTAAATTAGTTATTTGTAATAAAAATATATTAATTTTTTTAATATACTCTTTTTTTTTTTAATTGAACCCAGGATATCTATAGTCTGTAACAGTGACTAATCCCTTCATACCGTAAACTTTTTGAAGAGATTTTAATGCTGGTCACTAAACTTTCTAATGTATCCCTTTAATCATTACATTGTTAATAGAAACCTATTTTATTTATACAATCAATAAGAATAATTTATTAAAAAAATTAATAAATTTGGGAAAACTAAGTGGATTGATATATTTGATACCAGAGCAAATACTCCAATTAGTTTTTATATTTAGAATTGGATGGAGGGAGATCTCTTGTGCAAGGTCTAATTTTCATATCATTTCTTAAAACCAGAAACTATTTGCTGCAAAACCACAGGTACAGAAGAAGACCGTTGGAGGGAGAATTAAAAGCCAAACCAAGATTACATTATTTAAAATTAAATCTCCCCAACAAAACCACACCCAAAAAAAAAAAGGAAGAAAAAGCTTGAGGATTGAAAATTTACATAAGAGAGCAAGCATTAGGGTTGTCATCACTGAAGAAGGTGATGTAAGGGTCTTCATATCTTGTTACAAGGGCTCCAACGGAGGAGGAAGAAGAAGAAGAAGAGGCCTCAACGTTTCTGACAAAACCAGGAGGAGCCCTCTTATCATAAGCCGTAGCCGCATAAGGATGAGCCACTAAGTTATAAGGCACATAAGGCCATATCTCTGCTCTCTTCCCTGTCGATTTCGCCTTCTTCAACACCTTGCTTGCTTCTACATACCCTGTCACTGTCACTTTCTGCAACTTCCTGTTTATCTCCACCGATTTCACCCCTATTCATCAACCAATCAATTAATCACGCTCACATTCATTCACATATATATGTTTCACTCTTCTTTTTTAGACACTAATGGCCTGAAGATACAGGCGGGATTGAACCTGCAACCTTTTACTTACACGGAAGCATTCATGTCAGTGGACAACAAGGTGATTGGCATGTTTTACTGACCTTAAACCCAAATAAGTATGAAGAAAGGAGAGTCTCAGTACGTTACCACTTAATGAAGAGAGGGCTTTCTTGACCTTAAGTTCACAGCCGTCACAGTCCATTCTGACCTTGAGTTCCACGGTCTGAAATGGCTTCTTCTTCATCTTCTTGTTGTAGCTGCTGTAATAATCCAGAGTGGTGCTTCCAACTCCCATTTCTGTGAGTTTTACAGAAGAAAAGGGACAGTGTGTGAATATATCAGAAAACAAATGGAGGAAAGGTTATGTCACGGGAACGTTGAGATGTATGGGAGTTCATTTATTATTTATTTATTTATATATTGAAAAGGAGAAAGGAAAAGGAAGTACAGAAGAAGAAGAAGAAACAAGGAACTTGCTGGGAGGAAATGGGATTCCTTCCTTACCTGGGAATAATCAATAAAAGATGATGTAAAGGTATGTTGCTCTCTGTGTGCGAGATGTGAAGACCTTTTTTTTTGAAGTTGGTTTCTCAGATCTTTATCTTTAAGAACATCACATGACACCGGTCTTCTTATAGAGAGGGCTTTTCTTCAGATTCAAACAGTGGAAAGGTCGGGGCCCCCACAGTCACCTGCATGAAAAAGTCCCCTGCAACCCTACTTTTGCCAGTTAATTAGTCTTCAATTAATTCTGATAAAAATAAACCCAATTATGTAAAGGTTTGGCCTCTATAATTGAATATCATCTACGTGTTTATATATAAATCAACCTATTACTACCTCCGGTCTTTAATATAAGATCTCGTTTGACTTCTATTTTGATCATAAATATAAGGTTTCAATCCATTTTGTCTCTCATATTTATCCTTTTTTTTTCAAGATAATCATTCTAATAATAGTAGCTCTAACCAATAAACTTGATTAATAAGAATATTTTAGAAAAAAACAACAAATATTTATTATAAATGACTAACTTAACTTATTTCTTAATCTACTCAATTAGTCAACTAGTTCTCATATTCAGGACCGGAAGTAATAATAAATTATGAGAGTAGAAGAGGTAAAATAGATAATGTGAATATATACAGGTTGTTTTTTATTCTACCATACGTAACAAATATGATATAGTGATATATCTACATGTAATAAAGGAAAAAAAATAGAAAGCTACGGACATCTTTTATGCAAAACCAGATTAACATTTTATCAGTTCTTCAAAATAATTAGGATGTTATAACTAAAAAATGCAACACTCTGGGAAAGAGAGTTTAATAATAGAAAGAATAAGCAAAAGAATAAAGTGATAGACTGATGGAGGTGGAACGTGGTCGAGGAGCTTGGGGTTAAAGTTTAAACAAAGTAAAAGAGAAGGGTAAAAGTGTCAGAGCGGGACCTGGTCGGTTAGCTTCTAGGAGTATGTCTTGCTCTGCCAACTAGCTCCATCCATGATATTTTTAAATGGTTTAGGCGTAAATCTATCCATAAAAAATTTCTCAATAACTACTGCAGGTAATAAAAGTTAGGAAAAATTGCAAAAAGAAACCATAGAATTAGAAAAATTACATACAGAAGATGATTCATAAAAATTGTTCTCAAAACCGATATTATTGTTGCCAAAACCTATACTATTGTTATTATGGCTCCCAATTTATAATTTTTTTAATTTTATGATCTTTTTTTATGATTTTTCCTAAAAATTATTTGAATGTAAAGGTACATATGAAGAGTCAAAATAGAGTAAAAATGTTATGGTTATTAAGCGAACCAATATTGATCAGTTTAGAAAGCATTTCAATTAAGAAAATAATATAACACTATGTAACGTGTGTGGGAACTATTTGTTAAACTATCAATATTAGTTTACTTAATAGTCATGGTGTTTTTGCACCATTTTAAAACCTTTTTATTTGCACCATTTTTTTCACTCTAATTAAATTTCTAAAATCCAATGTATGCAATAAAATGCAACGAAATGAATTCTATTTATATTGCATACATTGGTTTTCATTTTTTTTAAACCAGAAAGATTGGTTTTCATTTTTAGTATGATAATAAAATAATCAAATATTATTATGAACTATATATACACTAATGTTTACCATTCATACATTATAAATAATAATACTTATTTATTTTGGGAAATATATGAATATTTGTTGTAGGGGATAAGAACACAGATTTCTTATCTTAGGAGTAAGTAATCGAGTAAATTGTTTATAAACTCACGTAGGGGCTAACTACTCTTTCACCAAATTTAAGTTTCTTTTGAGTTGTAAATATGCAACTTGCACTTTAAGGTATCGAGGCAATGTAAAACGACAGTTACTTCAATTAAATAGCTATCATCTTTTTTTTTTCATTAGAAGAGAAAAAATATTTTAAAAATAAAAATAATTCATCCAAGTTGATTATAACTGATTGAAACGTTTAAATCAAAACAAGTTGATTTGAACAATTTTATGCTATTCACATCACTTGCTACTGTACTATCCATATACTCCTTCCATCTCAATTGTAAATTTAAAAATTATTTCAATAATGCAACAAGTATAAGTTAATAATTAATTTTTTTATATGGTTATATCATTAGTTCACATTCGGGCATTATCAGGTTCGTTTGATGATGGCTCTCCCAATTGATATGTAATATGTTATTATATCACATTATGTTTTAATTAACTAATTTATTTGATTTTTTTCAATCTATGAAAGCTAGTTAATACTACTCCAGTCTTAATTATAAGAGCTAGTTGACTAATTTGAAGGGATTAAGAAAAAAAGTTAACTTAGTTATTTGTAACAAATAGATATTGTCTTTCCTAAAATATCTTTACTAATCAAGTGTATTGGCTAGAACTATCATTATTAGAAATATTACTTTGGGAAAAAATACATAAATATGATAACTAAAGTAGATTGGAGTCTTATATTTAGAACCAAAATAAAAGTCAAATAAGGTTTATATTAAGGACCAGAGGTAATGTATGACTCTTATATAAAGCATTAGAGAGAGTACTACCTCCGATGCTTAATATAAGACATTATTTACTTTTATTTTGGTTTAAATATAAGACACAATTCACTTTGTCTCTCATATATATATATTTTTTAAGATATCTTTCTAACAACAGTAGTTATAGCCAATACACTTGATTAGCAATGATATTTTAAGAAAGACAACACATATTTATTACAAATAACTAACTTAACTTTTTTCTTTAATCTCCTTAAATCAGTCAACTAGCTCTTATAATTAGGACCAGAAGTAGTATTATTTATAAACCATACTCACTTTAAATTTATGAAAGTGGGAATCCCACAATCACATGTTAAAATATAAACATGTTGCTTGAGCCTTGAGGCAAAACGTCCTCCCAGGGACACTTAGATAGGGACATAGCATGAAACAAAATTATTCTCATAATTGCTTTAAAAATATTAATTGGCCCACCATAAATGAGATACTACCTGTAGTTCTTAATATAAGACCTAAATGACTAATTTAGGGAGATTAAAAAAATTAATTAAGTTAATTATTTATGATAAATAGATATTGTCTTTTATAGAAATCCTTGCTAATTATATGTATTAGCTAAAACTACTATTTGATGAAACTTTTAATATGTGCAACTATGACAAGAATTACTTTAAGAAAAATAGACAAAAATGAGAGACAAAATGAATTAAAATTTTATATTTAAGATCAAGTTGAATGTCAAACTAACTTTCATATAAAAGACTGGAGGTATTAAAAGATAATGCTTTCAGTTGGCCCCAAAAAAAAATTAATACTTTAACAGAGCTATATGTACAGTTGCTATTAAAGAGATAAGCACTATCTTTGTCATGCCAAAAATCAATGATCCCAAGTCTCATCTATATGTTTTTTGTTTGTTTTAACTCTTGGGACTTTAGAAATGACATTTCCCATAACGATCATTATATTTATTCTAGTATAAGCATATTTTTTACAATTTTATTCCAATAATCATATTTGGTTCATCATAATCATGAAAACAAATATCTCTCCCATGATAATAATCTTTTTCAAAGATTAGGAATCTTAATTCATGACTTCTCAATCCTGATTCCAACTTCTCAATTAGACAATTATTATATCCGGTTCTAATTATAAGATCTCGTTTGTACTCTATAAATGAGATTTTATAATTAGAATCGGAAGTAGTAATTTATATGACCTTATTGTTAACAAAATCTATCTATGGCGATTTTCATCATAGTCTACTGTTTTATTTTCTATCATCCTACTCCCTTTTTTCCCCCTCAATTGCAATTCGTATATTAGATTATGGTATACGAGAAATGATAAAAGCTTATGACTCAAAAAGCACCCCACATATTTTCTCATAAAGGAGATGATGAATTCTATATTCCAAGTGTTCAGAGTTGAGGTGATGAGTGGTTGTGTCTTTATCCAGATAAAAAAAAATGACATAGAAATAATCTTAATTACTACTTATGGTTCTAAATATAAAAGCTCATTTATATCATGGAAATAATCTTAATTACTACATGTGGTCCTAAATATAAGACTTATTTATAATCTACAAATGAGATCTTACATTTAAAATCGAGGTAATTAATTATTTTAGCATCAAAACCCATTTCTTTTTACTCAAGAAACTGAGGAGGTATTTGGATAATCCCAAAAGTACTTTTTAGAAACACTTTTTAACAAATTAAGACAAATCCTCTATATATTTAATTTGTATACTGTAAAAGTACTTTTAAACTCATGATTTTTTTTTATCCAAACATCTCTGAATTTCAAAGAGTAGAATCAATGTTCTGTTTCTCTGCGACCATGGTTTTAGTGTTTCTTAATAAAGAAGCTGTTAGAGACGACAAATGGATTTTCTTTTATTAATACTTACCGTTCTTGATCATATCCATTATACTTTATCACCCAAAGTAGTTACCGTCAATCCACCAACCTCCATTTCAGAGATATTTCACAAGTAAAAATAAAAAAATGAAGCCATTAAAATAGTTCAAGTGAACCCGCATAAACCATTATTTTTCTTATGCATTACAGTCGCTTTTGAAAAGACAGGGCCAAAAGGTTTTTTTTTTTTTTTTTAAAAAAAAGAGCATAACGAATAGACAGAACAAAAGAAGTGGGTGAGAAGCATGCATCACAATATAATGAATATATATATATATATAGAGAGAGAGAAGAGAGAGAGGAAATAGGAAAGCTATTCCATTAACGATGTGAAGTTGGATTACAGAGACAGTGATGTAACCAAGTGGCACGAAAGCCCTAAGTCATTTGTACCAATATAATAAACAAAATATATGTGTGTGTGTGTGTGTGTGTGTGTGTGGAGGGACCAATAATCTTAGGTAGATTTATTGTTGGGCCAGTCAGTAAGTATATGCTAATTGGCTTGCTAGATTTGCTCATAATCCTAATGGTCATTTTTCACCTTTTTTTTTTTTTTAACTTACCATCTCCTTGGATGTAAGGGTTTAGTAGAGTCTGATTAATAAAGGATATAATATTGTTTTAAGCTTGGATTTTTCTTTGGGTTTCTTTGGTACGTAATACATGGTTCAACGTCCAATCTAACTTAAGAGGGTTAATAGAAGATCCGACCCGAAAGTAAAAGTTGTCATTGACATGTTAAAACAGAGACTCATCTTTAAAAAAAAAAATCACAAATTTAAACTCAATACCTTATATTTGAGTAGTTTTAATTTTTTTTCCCTACTAGAACCAACACATATTGAGAAATAGATTTTATTAAAAAGGGTATCAAAAGATTAGATATATGTGTTAAGATAAGGTATTAATTGCTAATTACTCCTCCGGTCCTTAATATAGGACCTAATTTTTGTGTTGGTTTTGGTCCTAAATATAAGACCCCTTTCTCATATTTATCAATTTTCTCTAAATTCCCACTATGGATACTCTCTCACCATAATCAAGTAGAAGAAGGAGAGATGGTATTAAGAAAGATGATTTGGTGTTTTAGGAAAAATGTGTCATTTTTTCTTATAATTAATTAACTTACCTAATTTCCTTAATCTAATTAAATTAGTTAAATGGATTTTATATTAAGGACCGGAGGAGTATTAATTTTTCCTTTGGGGGGGTGGTTGGGAAAGCAGGATATTGTGAGTTGCTGAGTTTGGAAATATCAAGTGGACACAAGGATCCATGTTTGTTTTCCTTGAAGGTCATGGTTAAAAAAGGCATTGAGTAATCATCTTTTTCATGCCTTCTCTTTTTCTTTAAGATATGCATGCCTGATTCTTTTTGTTCATAGCGGGGGCGGGGGGGCGGGCGGCGGGCGGGGGGGAAGAAAACTTTCGTTCGGAAATGAGCGGGGAAAGTGAAAACTAAACCCTAATACGCTCTCTTTCCCCAATCCAATATTTGGCATCTTTGTGCTTTTGTGAATCATGGGATCTTAAAAGCACTTATTCATACAATTTGAGATAAAATTAATCTCACATATTCACTTCATATTCCGTAAATTCTCAGTTTAAAAAACTACTTTGGAAGGATTCTATCATCATTTCAAACAAGCCCTTTGTTCTTTTTTCCCTTTTTAACTACGCATATGTATCCTTCTATTAGAGGCAGTTCTATTTGAGGTACTATCAGGTACTAAATATGGATGCTTCTCCCAGCAAAATCCAAACCTTAATTCACCATGTCAAGACACTAATTCCATCCACTAAACCCAAAATTTTTTGTTAGCCCTTTGTTTGTTTACCTTGTTTTTCTTTTCTTCCCCACACCAAACCCAAATTCGATTTGGAGTGAAAAGTTACTTAAAAAGCTTGCAAAAAGATTCAGCACTCACGCCCCACAACGTGTTCTTGCCTTCGGGTTATGGCATTGATCAACACATTCAAGTCGTGTCTCAAAAAAATGATTTTATTTTGTGAAGTAGCTTTATTAAGGAGTCTTTTGCTCTAAAGTGAAAATGGAAAAAAAAAAAAAAAAAAAACAGAAAAGTCAGCTTCAGCTGTCGCCCATATGAAGAGGATTAGGTGAGACAATATCATGTGACGCAATCTTTTATTTCACTATAAGCCCTCATGCCATTGGCCTTTCCTACGACCAGTTCTACTCAATTAAGATTTTATGATGTCCGCTATATTTGATGTTTTCGTCATGAAACGCATCTACGTTGTCAGTTGTTACATCAAGTCGTGCAATTCACTCAGGAGCATTTGAAACACTTGCCTGTCTGAATCAGTATTCGGTTAAAGCTTGCATCTTGTTTCATCACATTGTCTCATCTGAATCCATCTTCTATATGCGCGATATCAATTTCTTGTGAAATTATATCATTTATTAATGGGTTAGGCTATAAGTTTTCATATCCGAAAGTTTTTTAATAGTCATTAGTTTTTTAACAGTTAGGACAATTTTACTACTACTTTTTTTAACACTTGATGAAACAAACTTTCACCATAAGCTCTCTCTAAACAATATTGGAGCTTAAACCTTTATAAATCGCAATCACCCCAGATTTTATGTACGAAATACATGACCGACATTTAAATTTCAAATAAAGTTTGGAAAAAAAATGACAGTTTCGTTTATCATTTACAAAGTACAGAAATCGCCAACAAATTCCCTTTAACTTTAAACCGTCATACGTTACTTTTGGGGCGCATAGGGCGCTGTTATGCAATGTGCACAAGCAACACAATGGAGTTCCTGGATCAATAAGGTCTCAAGAAGACAGAAGAAGGATAAAAACCAAACAATAAAATTATACAGCCTCATCCTCATCAAGGGAGGAAATTTAAAAAATATGATCCTTCGCTAGCTGGGATCAATCTAATGCCTGGTAGGGTAAAAATAGCAGCATCAGATGATAAAAACATCTAAGATACTTACAGAACTAGGGGCCAAAAAGTGGGGACAAAATGGATATACATGTAACACTACCTAGACAATATAAAATGCATGCGGCCGTAACAGGATAACTTTAAAGCCTTGAAGAGGCTACTACAAGTTGAAGAAGAAGAAACAAGCAAATGTGCCAATGTTGTCGTTGGCATGACATCATCAAAGATGAAGCAGTTGATGGTTTGTGGGGAGCTCTTCCAGCAACAGCTGGAGCGACTGCGTGCCCATTGGTTCTCTGCTGCTCATTTGTCGGCAAGGGTTTTGGTGGTGTCTTATTTGGAGACGGGGGCATGTTCTTACCAGCAAGATCCTCACCTGCAAAATGCATGTAGAAGGAAATCAGTGATTCATAGCTTCATTGCCTATTTATGGTGGTTAGGTTTTTTATGCACACAACATGCGAGTATGCTCATATGTGGTAGTGTATAAAATTCACAGAAAAGCATGATAAACTCACAACTTGACTGCGACCAGGACAGCTTCATGTTTTCCCTATCAAATACCAGCCTGTAGCCTGTCATGAAGTTCTCTGCAAAATGATCATTAGTTTAAAGATCAAAGATGGATTTTCAGAGTCAAGGCAAGCAGAGGGAAATAGCAGACTGCTGAAGAAAATATCCAGTCTTACGTCCAATTGTTCCCATATCTCCATCCGTTGGCTGTATGGCTAAACAAAATCCAATAACTCCCTGCACCAAAAGGGCCAGTCTTTGTATTCAGTTACACCAATTATAGGAGACGTATTATTATACTAAGCAAAAAATGAAAAAGAATAAAAAGATATAGGAGAAATGTTCATCATTTCTTACATTTCCCTTCTTATTAATCACTATTGCCGAAAACATTGAAATTTACCTAGTTGGTTGCACTTATGCAGCACCAATGTATTTAGAAAGAAATTTGTGCTTTGTAGAAAAGACAGCTAAAATTGCTCAAGCTCAGTTCTGCTAGAAATTACGTACTCCTGCTCTAGGAAGCATAGGCATTGACATAGACACACACATCAACATATCGCCAAATCTATCATGTATGCGAATAATTTTAGAAGTCAAGTCTAAATGGAGGAGTGACAATAACTGCAAAGTGAAGGAAAAAGACTAGCCAGATTAAATACTATGTGGCCATATGATTATAAGAGCCTAAGTTAGTGAGGGCCTAAAAACACAAACTGATGGGTGAGAACAAATTAAACTGGCCAGAACCAGAATATCAGTTATTTTTCTGGCAAAAACTCTATGCCAGAAAAAGGATCAAGTGATGGAAATTTAGTTCCTACCAACCTGATCGTCATAAAATACAAATACGGGATTATGGATCACAAAGCTGCTATTCTGTTGGAACGTAAATGTGAGGGAGGGAACCTTGGGCAACTCAGGTGAACTGTACCAAAAAAAAAAAAAAGACACAATCATGAAGGCATTAAAACGGTAGTGTACAAGGATATATCACATGCTAGACAGATAAGAGGGGGGAGAAAGAAAAACAAAACTAGTAATCAAATTTACCTAGAAGCATAGCAATAGTCCCAAGGGGATCCTTCAAAGGTAGATCTCGAAGCATTCACTTGGTGGTCAAACTGCCATAAAGGAAATCATATCAAATGGCTGACAAGAAATTTACCGTCATGGAAAGTTCACAAAATATAGTTACCTCCTCAGTAATTGCATCATACACATGGCCCGGAAGAAATGTAAATGATGTTCCGCTGTCAACCTGTGCTTTGAAGCTTGTCATCTTAAGATATGAATCCTTGACACAACATGCCTCCACTCCAATGACATATGTTGGACTGGGACAAGTAATCAATAACAAATAACAAGATGGTATTTTGTAAATAGTTTGAATGTTGTGAATGATTGTAAATTCAGTTACAGTAAAGAGTTCCATACTATATTCCGTCCAATGGCAAGAACGGAGTAGACTGTTGGATGGCTGATCCCTGGTCTCCAAAGAATATTCTACCAGAATCATCATCGTCAAAGCACATTGAGAAAGAATTATGGATTAATCCTGATTTGGCAAGCAAGCTTGGAACTGAAATTTCCCCTGTTCCCAAACCCATAAGACCATCTGGAGCAACCCCATCTAAATAACCACCACTTTGCTTCATACCACACCTGCATTAATATAGATGTTGAGTAAAAAACGAGTTCCGTATCCCTCTATAATTATAAGAATAATTCATCAAGAAAGCACTCTACTGAGAGACAATAATAATAAGAATAATTCATCAAGAAAGCATTCTAGTGAGAGGCAATAGATCCGTCAGCCACACCCTATAATGACAGAAGCCTGAACTGTTGAGTTGGATTCACCATCACCACTTGACGCAAGATGCAATATGTCCTCTACCAACAATCCGGAACTTGATGTATTCTCTGAGACGTAATTGACAGTGTAAGGACACAGCTGCCTGGAACTTTTACAGTCAGAACCCATCTCACATAACTGATGGCTGCAAGATAGATTCTTGCTAGATGTTGATCGAGATGGACTATACTCATTCAGGTCTTTATCCTGCATAATACATGCCCCATATATGAGGGAGCACCTGCCAATCAATTATTGGAAATAAGTGCTAAACCTGTTACCAAGACTTAGCTTTGACTTCACAATTCCATTGAAAAATATGCAGAGATTAAGGAAACATTCTCCCAGTCCCAGGTTACTATGGATTCAACATGAAGACTGGCTCGATCAAGGCATGCAACTTTGTTGCACAGTAGACTATCAAACCGCTAGAGAGACATTTTTTCAAAGGCTGGAATCTTACACCAGTATCACAAAAGATAAAACATTCAACTAGCTGCGCTTGAGTCTCATGTATGAGCTTCAAATTTATATGATACAGAATTCTTGTGGGACTTCAGTGTTCAGTTTTCCTAACTTACAGAGTTGTGGTAAAAAGTTCTATGCTATCAGAAATAAGAAAGTGAATACTATGCATTGTCTTGTTTGTAGTTCTTTGCAATCAGAGATTTCTCAAATATTTACTTTAGACCAACTGATTGAATCAGGCCATTAAATCGGTAAATAATCACTTGGCAGTTGAAACATTTGGTTTCGATCATATTACTAATATATTGAACATCACTGGGGAAAGATGTGTAGCAGTCATACTGAAATAATGGAGCAATGAAAATTTTCAGGGGATTTTGAGGAAAACAAAGAAAGACATCCACCCACACAAAATAAAAATCCGCATCACAATCTCAAACAAGAGCACCTCAAGAACAATTAAAGGGACCAAAAATTCCCATGCAAAAGGAAAGAAAGAAAACAATGATGATACATTAAGATGATTTCTTCTAGTCAAAGAGTGGAGGATTAAAACATGAAATGATTTGCCTACCAGATTGGCATAGTTACTTGCAGATAGAGGAGCACACTGTATGCAATCACATGGAACCCAAAGTAGATCACTCCCAGCATCCAGAGCTACAAGGAATGAAGTACTTGGCGTCCCTATATCAATCCATGTGTAATGTAACCTAAGAAATGGCACAAGGAAACTTGAGAACCTTGCAAACAAAAGAAAATTATGCTATATGCCAAATCATTTTTCTAAAAAGAATAGGTACATTAAATAAGCAATGAGCAAATAGAAGGTGGCTTTAGACAAAGATGAAACATGTGGAGACAAAAAGAATCAATAAAAATATTACAAGATTTACATTTATTCAGCTTCCTAGATTATTAACTCTCTGTTAGATATCTTTCCTCAGTGCATAGCGATAGTATGACTACAGGAAAAAAAATTGTCTTTAGATAATATCTGAGACATTCATTAAAAAAGAAAAAAAAGAGTTTATTGTACTTTTTCTCTCATAAAAAATCTTGAATGCTTCTGTCTAAATCTTCGTCAATACAAAAGACAGTGCCATACCTAACAGGTTCCGGCTCCTAAAGAAATAAACACTACTATTCAGCAACTTTTGTTGAAAAATTAATATTTTCCACTTGAAGTATTCATGAACACGGAGGTAAACTTTTGGGCGAAATTTTTTATTTTAAAAAAGATAACAGGAACAAAACGATCTACTCAAACCGAAGAATTTCCACTCGGCCACAAAAAAGACCGAATAATTTCCATTTTTTTGGGGACAAGAGAATTATTTCCATGATTAAAAGAGTTAGATATACTTCCCTTGTATTTCTCAGTTTTGATCTGAGAGTCAAATCTTCTGTCGTTTTTCGCAAACAGAAAACATTTTCAGTTTTCTTTCTGAATACACTAACTGAAAGCTTAGTTCATTAGTTCTGTCAACGATTGGACATCAACAAACAATTTCGATTTTTTTTTTTAATTAAGAGGAGAAAGACACGAATACAACACTTTATACCAGAGAAAAACAAGAAGCTCACCAGCCAAAGTCGTTTCCAAGCGACATCGTCTTGCTGCCATGAGAGGGGAAAAGTAACTGATGCGGTGCTCGAAGCTTCATCTTGTGCCTGAGAAAGTCGCCGGTAACAAGCATCTCATAATATTCCATACTCCTCTTCTCCGGCCAGCCACCGGCCACATTACGACCGCCAACACTCGAAACCTGGAGCGCCTTCATTTCTTCAGAGAAACGATGAATCAGCCTGGCAGAAAATGTGATCGGCATTGCATTCCCATGGAGAAAGGACGCCATTACCCAGACCAACAGCCACTGAGGGGCCATGGGGAGGGATCAGGAAGAGCCTCGCAGGCCTCGATCTGAGACAACTCCGATGCCTCGATCGGCCTTCCAAGTCTTCCTGAGATACACTACTGAATCGAAGTCACGAGGTAGAGCTTAGAGAGAGCAATGGAATATTGGTCGGAAGATTTACGGGGGAAGAAGGAGGAACAGGGTAGGGAAGAGACACATTATAAGTAAAGCTTTCGGTGTTGGTTTGGTAATGGTATCATTATCATTATCAGGGGGGAGTACTAGTAGACGCTAGGACAGAATGGGGTTCACTGTGAACAGATTGTGATTTAAAAAGAAAATCTAAAAATGGAATTAATTAATTATTTAGTAAATGAAAAGTAAAGCGAAAGTAATTTCGGGGAGGAAATTTTATTATTATTATTGTTGTTGTTATTGTTAGCATTTATGAATTTGAAAGGTTAATGATTGTGATTGGGACTATGCCGCGAGGAGAAGCCACGCGCGTGGCCCCCACCCTTATCTTTACGTGTCAGACAAAACAACGGGTTTCCATTGGTGGTGGGGTTAATTAATTGACGTGTGGGGCCCGATTTATTCATTTATAAGCTAACATAAATATATCATTTTTTACTTTTTTTTAGGAATAAATATTGTTTTTTATTCAGAAAAACTACAATGAAGTTCTGAAGAATAAAAATAATTACAAAAAAATTTAAAAAACTTTCATTTTTACTCTAAAACTTGTCAAACTATTTAAGTTGTATTGAGACTTTTTAATAATTATTTTTTAAGACCTTATTATAATTTTTTTTTCTTTTTACATTTTAATACCCCCTCTTGTTCCTAGTATAAGGAGTCAACAAGCTTATTCACACATACTAAAAAAATGATAGTTATATAATTAAATGTGCTAAAAAGTATAAAATTTTTCAAATCTACCCTTATAACAAATTTCAAAGAATTAGTGAAAAGTTATTTACATAAATAATAATAATTTGTAATAAGGACTAGAGAGAGTATAATGAGATATATAATACAGTATTAAATCAAACGATTATTTTCATATTATAATGCATATATTCCACCTTTTCTTCTTGTCATCCCTGGTGGAAGTAATCTACACATAATCAGATACATGATGCTTTAAACAAGGCTTAAAGAGATACTAACAAACTACTTTTGTCTTATATGAATTTTCTTTCCAAAAATAATGATAAAACAAATTGGCTCTATGATTGATGGCAACAAAACAAAAAAAAGTCGGCTCTATGATTTTCCCGCTATAAACACCACCATGTGACAAACTCCGCCACCGTACAGTAGCCTCGTGATAGAGGAAGAAAAAGGGAAAAAGTCTACTCCAAAACAAAAACAAGTAACAAGCCGATTATCTTTCCTTTATTTTGACGACACACCAGAATTATACAACTTGAAATAGGGTTGATCTTTGCGTCCCCAGTGTATATGCTAGGAATTTTAAGGATCAAATTACAAAAGAATACCAGCACAAGAATCTGCTAAGACGTGGAACTATAGACCAAAAATAAAACAGTTGCTGCTATATACATCAACATGATAAATAACAGATCAAAAATTTCGCACCAAGCAATTTTCCATAATGGGATATTTCTGAAGCTTGAAAATGAACTCAATAATGGGCTATCACTTGTTAGACCACTGGAATTCTATCTCTAAATTCCTTGGAGGACCACTTTTACTTTGCGGCAGGAGGGTGTATTCTCCGGCAACAGATCCAAGCATTACCACACGATCAATTTGGATTGTCACCTTCCCAAATGAACTCTGTCATCGGATTACAACAAAATGTCAAATAACAGTGGAGAAGGAAGAAACAAGAAAACCTAAGAAGACTAATACACCTTTTTTATCCTGTAATCTGTGATTTTCCCAACTTACCTTTCCTACTTTGCTCTTGTTTTTGCAAGAAATGTGAAGCTTCTGGCCTTTTGGAGGGCTCTCAAAGGACCATGAAAAGCTCTCATCCCACTCCGGATTGGGGCCAGTTGAGACCACCTGATCAAATTGAGTACAGGAGTTCCATTATAAGCAGGAAAATAATAGTTTTAATGCACCAAGAATAATAGTTCCACAAACAAATTCAACACGCAACATTCGCAGAATAAATTTTTGCACAACAAACTGATCATCTACAAGGGTCTGAATCTAGCCCAGTGAAACCCATATGGCCAGGTCCTAGCACACAGAGACACAACAAGGTCACCATTTAACCTCTTCTCTCATGGATAAACCCCTCCCTCAAAAAAAAAAAAAATCCCTCCTTCTTTCTCTCTTTTTGCTTTTTTTTTCTTTTTCTTCTTCTTCTTCTTTTTGGGCGGGGGGGCGGAGAGGATGACGGTGGGTGGGGGCGGAGATGGAACACAAAAAAGGAAAATGGGGAAAAATCACAAGATTGCAGTTTACTTAGCATGAAGTCATAAAACATTTTACCGTGGTTTGCCTTGGAGGAGTGTTGCCAAGTGTAAGCTTACAGTAAACACTTGGGTTTCCCACTGACTGCTTCATGTTGTTACCACGCTTTATGATAACAACTAATGTGCCAGGCAAACACTGCAATAAGAATTCAGCCTTCTCTTGAAACCGAGGAGGACCAGACTGGATTAAGTACTGTAGTAAAGGAATAGCATCTGCAGCTGCTATTGACTGAGATCTTGAGACTTCTGCTGGGCATGCTGACCAAGCTTGTCTGAGGAGAAAAAGTGCATCCAAGGCAGCTTCTTGAGTGGCCTCTGAGCCCGTCTTTAATGATGTAACCAGATGGGGAATGCTAAGGGTTGCCGGTTCAGTAGCTCTCAGACGGGGGAAGTTGCTAAAAAGAGCATTCAAGGCTCTCAAATACTCATCATTCACGCTTCCAGTAGCCCATAAATCCTTTTCAATAGCAGCTGCATCACCATAAAAAACATCAACAACCAATTTAGCATGCACATGCGGGTGCACCTGCACGCGCACACACGAGGGTGTGCCTGTATGCATGACAAAGCAGTTTAAGGTCTTGAACTGATTACACTATTACTGAGCATCGGGGTCAGACTAAAAACAATACTTTATATATATTTGGCTTTTAAGTGCCCAAGATATAAAAATAGACACAATCAAATTAAAAAAGAGGGGTTTATATGAAAATAAGAAAGAGGAGAGAGAAATTTCAGATTTCAAATAAATAAAAAAGGGGCATGGTGCCCAAAATGAAGCTAACGTGTGACCTTATGAATAGTAACCGACTTAAATGGCCTCCCACAAAATTTAGCATATATTAGATTAGAATACAATTGGATAGATATGTAACATAACAATAATTAATATAATCACAGCGATGTAATCCATCTATGCAACAAAAATACATACTGCAAGAGAGGAATCAAGCTGTCCCAAGGCAACAATAATTGATTCACACAAACCACGACTTCTGTAATATGTGTTTATTTCATAAATTTCAAAAAAAAAAAAAATGGAGGGGGGACCTGTTCAATCACCAGTGAGGCAGTCAGTAACAATGAAAGATTTGCTCTGCTATTTTTATAATGATTCATCAGCTTCTCCAACGGTTATGTTCTTTGATAGACTATATCCCATTTTATTGAAAATTTAGTTGAAAATCAAGTTATCTCCCTGCGTTATAAGAGTAATACAAGAACTAATTATGATGATATCTGCTCAATTAACTAAGGCAAGAATAAAGACCATGCCAAAAGATGCCAAATTAAAAGTAAACAGTAAGTCCTTTTTTAATGCCAGAAAAATGATAATATGCAATTCCTCAGATGTTAAGAATAAAAATGACCTGTGAAGATCAGTTAGCCAAGCAGTGTCCTGCACAACAAGCAAAGAAAAACTCACCAGTTATTGCTCTGACCGTTTCACTTGAAGCATACTCTTGAACAGTATGATTGGAGAAGAGAAGTTTAATGAACATTGCAGCCTGAACAGAAGTTTCAGGATCACTTGAACCTATCAGATCCAGTACAACCTGTACACCACCAGCCTCAGCAACTGCTCTTTTATTTGATCGACTATGCACTACAAGGTTCTGAAGAGCGCATAAAGCTACAACTTTCATTTCTTCTGTTGGTTGATCTTCAAGCACATTCACCAAAGCACGGCATGCTGAAACTGCATCACTTGTTCGAGCAAGACTCTCATTCTGAAATAGATCACCAAGAGCCAGAGTTGCCAGTAACCTTGCCTGCTGTCCTTGGGTTTGTGGATCCAGGAGGTACTGTGATAACGGTACGATGGCTGATCTGGTAGCTTTTGTTTCTCTAATCTTGACGTTGTTTAACAATACTTCCACTAGTCTAGCAGCAGTTTCCTCGCACTGATGAGATCTTAGAAGCTCTAAGAGAGCCTCTATGGCACCACTTTCAGCCATTGCTTCTGCACTAGTTCCATCATCGCTTTCTAACACTAGAAGAGCATTTAATGCGCCAATAACAGTGCTCTCTGAGCCAGCACGGAGCAACCTTACCAACACGGCAATAGGCACTTCCAGGTAGAATTCAGAACTGAATTGCAGAATGCTTGACAAAACAGAAGCAGCAGACTCCCATAAAGCATGGGGAAGTGAAGGATCAGCATGCAGTATCACTTTCGAAAGTTCAACAACACCGCCTTCTTTTGCAATTTCATTTGGCCATATCAGTGCAATACTAACAAGGGCCTTCACAGCCCTCTGCTGCAATATGTGGATACCAGAACCAAGAACTCGAATAAGAGGACCAATTACCTGCTGTGTAGCTGGATCCTTCTGAAGCTGTTCTTCCAAAAGCAGATGTGAGAGAAGCTCAGCAGCCAACTGTTGCACTGCTGGTATTGGAGAATCGAGCAGGGGGATAAGTGGTTCAATAGCTTGGTGGGATGTCAGTGTATAGTCAGCACGACATTGTGGATGTTCCAAGATATTCACCAAAACCTGCAATGCACTGTGCTGTCCATCAGGCCCAAATTCTTGTCTCGTCAGCAACAAAAATAGGGGCTCGACCACTTTAGAAGCCGACTGCCCTTTAGCTATGCTAGCATTGTTGGTCAGTATACGCAGCAATTCAGCAAATGCTGCACACAGATAATCAGGTGCTTCATGAAGAATGTCAAGTACGCTTTCAATAACTCCACCTTTGACCATTTCCATTTTACAAGCAGGTCTGTCTTTCCCTAGCTTAACCAGAGCTCTAGAAATGGCCTCATGGAGCAAATAATTCCTCCCATAGAGAAGA